CTGTTTGCTGCAGAAACTTTGCTTAAATCTTCAAAATTTCACAAGCAGCAGATGCAGGAGTTGGTACAATTGAATATTGTACCTAAAAATGGTCTCACGTCTTCCTAATGAAATTTCAATATCTAGTCGAGCAAAAGTAGTGGTAGTAGGACAAAAAAAAAAAAAAAGAAGTTAGCTGCATTCCAGCTCAAAATGCAGGAAATAGCATTTCAAAATGTAAAGTACAAAATTTTCCAGGGGAGGATACCCCCAGACCCCCCTATGCCACACAAAGCCTAAAGAGACGATACACCAAGGTGTTCACCCTATGAAATACTCCTAGCTAAAAGCCTTACTAGTCCAAAAAAGGTCAAAGTTACACCAGCTTGAAAACAAATCCACTTATTCACCAAAATCTAACTTTTAGGTGAAACGGAGAAATTAAAGAACAACCCCAATACCACCAAAATACAAAGCTAACATGAGCTGGACCCCACTAAAACACCAGCGTCACGGTTCACAGAGATGTCACGTTTTCCTCCAGCTTTCAGGAATTATGTCCAGAGCTGAAAAGGTCTGAACTTTTTGATCATGAAGAATCCAAATTACCTGCAAGAATTTTGATCCAGTTTTGTTTTTTGTTTTTTTTTCTTCTAATTTTGTATATCCTTCCACCTGATATACAGTAAGATGTATATCTGAACATTAATAGGGTATCACTTAGTTATTGGAACCTGTGTTCAGAATATATTTCTGTTGCAATCATGGTCTTCATTTAAAAGTAGACGGACAGAAGAGAGGCGGAGGACCTGTAGCAGACTTCTAGGTTGAAATTCAAAGCTGTACATTGATCCTATTGCTGAGAAACTCAAACTTTCACTGAGGTAATGTATTACAGTACATCTATAAAACTTTAATTAAAATACCCAAACTGATATCCTATTGCCATGCCGTCTTAACAAAAAGGGCTGAAGATGACACCGGGATATTCCTTGACAAGTATTTTTCAAAAACAACATTCTCCTATAAAGCCATTCGAAGTAAAGTGATGCATTTTCCGCTCACCTTCCTCGCCGCACCTGCTGCCAGTCCTTCTCATCTTGAGTGAAGGAGTCATTAAGATGTTTTTTCACAATGGGAAGATAACAGGGCACCACGGTTCGAGCGCAGCTCTTCACAAAGTTAAACGCCTCCTCCTGATTTGGGGAGTCCAGATCGTCAAAGAAGATCCCTCCTATCCCCCGAGTCTCTCCTCTGTGACGGACGTAGAAGTACTTGTCACACCTAAAAATCAGTAACATTTCCAAATTGAAGCTAAAGATTTCTCTGTTAAAAACAGAAAGATTGTTGTAATCATTTTATCTCATTAAAACCAACAAAGCTTCAAAGCCAAATCAGATAAACCACACCCATTCACTCCACAGCCTCACGACCCTTAACAGCATTCAACGTTTTTTTTTTCTCTAACTGCAGATTGTAGGGACTGCCTCTTATCACTGACACACAGTGAGTATACACCCATTGTAATTCACCCGCACAAATTCACAGGAATCCATGTTAAAAAAATAAAATGTGTACGTGCTGATGTGCACAGACACGTCAGAGTGACAGATGTTGAGTCACTGCTGGAGAGTTACCATTTTTTAAACTCTGGGTAGTACTTCGGGTGGTGTTTGTCGCAGGCTTTCTTCAGTGTGTTGTGGAAATGAAAAGCATCTTTTTTATCAATATAAACGGGGGTTAGATCTGTCCCTCCGCCGAACCACCACTGCTTGGAGCCTGAAAGCACACACACACATAACAGGAAGTAGGAAAAAAGGCTCAGCATTAATCTGCAACAGGCCCCAAAATGCAGCTGTCGTAAAGGGCCGTCACTCACCGTCCTCTTCCTCTATTTCAAAGTATCTGTAGTTGAAGTGCACTGTGGGTATGTGGGGGTTCTTGGGGTGGATGACGGAGCTCACACCCATTGCACAAAACGGCAATTTACCTAAAACAAAAAACAAAAACAAAAAAAACACTTAATAGATAAACAGGGCCAAATCATATTCTAGAAACGTTAGATGAGGGGTCAGTTTAGTTACTAATTATGATCACATGGAAGAAGATAGCAGAACTCACCATCCTTTCCTTTGAGGACTTTCCCTCTGCTCCTCATTTGTTTTGCAGCCTCCTCGGTCAGATACCCAAAAACCACCGACACATTCACCCCTGCTTTCTCAAACACCTTTCCATCCTGCATCACACAGCTGATCCCTCCTCCACCTATGAACAAAGATGATTACAGAATAAACAGATGTTTGAAGCACTTATTTACCATCAAAAAAGATGTACAACCCAGTATTATTAGAGTATTTAAGAAATATATATACGCAAAAAGCTTAAATAGTTGGGATTTAAATATAATGTCTAAATTGCTAATAAACTGAACTTTCAAAGGATGATCTCAGTAATAATAATAAAAAAAAAAATCAACTAACAGATCATAGATGTGAAAGCAGTTTGACATCTGCATAGAAAGAAGAGTCGTGTGTATTATTTATGTTTCCTTATTGAGAAAGTTTTAGTTTTTCAAACCAATAGTTAAGAGTTATTGCTTAGAGACATGGTTTGATAAGGTAAAATGCCTCCATACAGACATGATTGGACAAATTAATTTATTTTGGAAAGTCATCCAGAGTAATTTGGCGTTTTTTTTGTTTAGAGCTTAACTAAAGGTAGTGATCACTCCTAATACCTGCATAAACTAAAAGGTGTGTTAATATTTGCTTAATGAAAGAGTACAGCTGGATATTCTTTACATTAATGGCAGATAAGTTAAATATTTTTACAAGGTGAGCATGAGCACCACAATCCAAATTGTTCCTAAAACAGAACAATAAAGAGATAATAAACACTGAAATGATCCAAGATTCTTACAGAGGATGGATTTTATATTTTTATAACAGTGTTTGGCTTTCTGGACACTGTTGGAGAGGTAAAATGTAACCCAGTGAAAGGAAACCAGGGATGCCTCTTATTACCTTCCTTCCTTTGCCACTTGTCCACTTTGAATGTCCCACCGTCCACTTCCTCCAGGGCTTTACAGAACTCAGCCTGGGTCTCCATGATCATCATCTCCATCCTGGTGCTCATCTCATTCTTCCTTTCCTCCAGCACACTGATGTCGGTCACCGGAGCAGACATGAAGCCCTTGCATCTTTCTGCGATGTCCCCCTCTTCTTTGGACTTTAGGGGGATCTTGGTGGCCATCTCTGCTCGCTGGAAGTGGTTAGCGTTGGCCAAGAAGCCCACAACGGCTGCTGTAACGGCCGCGGCACCACCGAGCGCCAAGGCTCCCGTTCTGGTTGATCCGGCTGCAGACCGACCTGCGGTCCCATGGGACATGAACCGTAAACCCAAACCCCTGGAGAGACTTTCATTTCCCGATAGCAAAAACACGGACGGGGCATTCCCACCTGCGAGACCCTTAAAATGTGAACCCAGACACCGTTTTACTTTAGTCTGAGCCGTATGCTTTACTGTCAAGAGAACAATGGACGCCATAGCAGCTTCTCCTAATGTCTGTGAAATGACAGTAATACCTAAACAACTCAATACATGCTGAGAACTTGTATGCCTACGTGCTGTAAGTCGTGTTTTAAAAGTGGTCCAGTAACGAGACGGGTGGTTTCTGGGTAATGATAATGGCTACATGGGAAATGTAGTTTTAAAGTACCGATAGAGGCATAAACATGTATTGTAGAACGTTAGATGATAACTACATTACCCAGCATGCAATTCGGCTAGACACGGACGTAACCATTCATGGGCTTTGGTCATTTGCTCGCCGTTCTTTAGTGATTAAGTCAAGCTCTTCCGTTTTTTCCAGTTATTTAAAATATAATGTTATATAATTCCTCTCATATTCTACTTGGTTTTTTTTCGTAATCGATAAAATACTAAAGTGATATTTTCATATAAAATAAGTAGTTTATTTTTAAATAAGTCAGTAAAGCACCGATAAACAAGTAAAAACTTGACTTATCAACAAATTATTCATTTTCATACGATGATTAATTGTTGCTGACATGTTCATTATTAAATCATATTACTTGTTATCCTAAAGAATAGAAATACCATTTTATAAATGTAATTTGAGTGGTAAAACAACCAGACAGGACTCTTACAGGTAGGCCTAAAACATTAACCAAATGTTAAAATATTAGATTTAAAAAATAATAAAAGTTTAAATGTACAGTAGGAGAGAAATGCAGATGTCATAAAAAAACGTGTTGGTCTATTAATAAGAATATGGCATATAATGTTAAAATCAAGAAATGTTCAAGCTAAAAAGAAAAAGAAAAAAACAGGAAAAAGCGAACGGTTTACAGCATGGGCAATTGAAGACAGGGCCCTGTAATAAAGACGTAATATTAAAATACATTTATGATAAATTAATAGTGATATATGCGGGAACAGAAAATGAAAATAGTAGATCAATTTGATCTGTTTTATTTCTTACAGTTTTATTTGAAAGATAATGGGAAAATTAAGTATGCCATATAATATCTCACTATGAGATATGATCATGGTTTCTTCTGATATGAGGTTTCCAGAGCTGCAAATGTTTTTTGTTTTTTAATATTTACTTTATTTAATAATGATGAACCATTGCTCAGTTGCTTGACTAGCTCTAAACATTGGCCCCACTCTGGCCTCCCTGGTAAATTTGGTTACCTGACAGAAACATTACATTTTTGATTTCAGGATTTTTTTATTCGTTGTATTGACCTTTAGCACTTTTATCAACTTTGTGTTGTTATCAATATAAGCACTGACATTATAAATGTCTGTCGGTAACTACAAATTTAATTCTTAACAGTATTGACCAGTAAAAGTCAGTTAAAAAATAACATAATTATGCTAATGGTAAAAATAATTGCTTGAAAACAACAGCATGTCAATATAAAGCAGACCCAAAGCTGTGTTCGTGTCTGCGCGCATGCGCATGCAGTAAAGCGTGTTGTTGGTTACCATGCCGACGGTACTATAAAGCTTTTAAGTCCGAGTCTCGGCTAAGATTAAGAGCGCAGGTGCTGCTGCACAGACAGGACTCTATGGGACAGCAAAATAATCAATAAAAATGGTAAGTTACGTAACAAACATTAATTTGAACGTTTTATCATCACTGGATGTGTAGCATTAATTAGGAAATGATGAATGTTGATTAATACTCTTGACGCTTTCCGCTTGTCCGGTTTTATTTATCTCTACTTGAGCGGGGGAAAAAATTGGATTACACTTGAGGATGTTTTCCTCTAATGTATAAACATAAACAAGCAGATACGAATTCTGTTTTAAAATAAACACCACATCAACAACAACGGGCTGTAGTTATTTTATTTATTTATTTTTTACCTATTTAAGTAAACTCTGGCTTTAGTCTCGCGATGCCCTATTAACATCAATTTGTCAAGGTCAATGAATCTTTAATGGCGCTTTCACTCTGAACGCCGTCAGTAGGCTACTTCTTATTCACTGGCCTATAATGTTGTAGAGTATACAGTAGACAAAGAGCATCCATTAGGATCTTATTTATCAGATATTTTTTAAAATGATGGTGACAAAAAATAAAATTAATAATAATAATTGAACTGTTTGGATCTCACACTGGAGAAATGTACCTCTGCATTTAAGCCAGTGGGCTGCCATTGTGCGGCTCCCAGAGAGCAGTGTGGGGTTAAGGGTCTTGCTCAGGGAACCAGAGTGTAGGCTGTGAGGATCGAACCTGGTACTTGCAACCAAGGGCGTAGGTTTGATTTCAGCTTTGGTAGGGATACTATTGGTCTGATGTCATTGGTCCTATGCAGAAATATTTATGCTTGCATTTTTTCATGCTTGATGTGAAAATCAGGGTGTATTACTTTTAAAGAGAAAATCAGCATTTCTTGCGACATTTATATTAATTTTATAAGTACTACACACACTAGATGCTGTTTATCAATGATTGAAGCTTAACTGGCTCTGATGAATGAGGAATTAGGACTTTTTTTTTTTCATTTTGAAAAGGTTTGCACACCTCAAATAAAGAAAATCAACAACCAGTAAAGGTCCGGAGACATTTTTAATTATAATCCATTACTTTAAACAGCATTTAACAGTGAAATAAGATGAGGTGTTTATGCATCTTTGTTTTACGTTGACTTTTTAACCCTTTAAAGTCAATTGTATCATATTTGATACATGGGTTTTTGAGACCTCTACATCATCAGTGTTATATTTTTTTCTTGAAAACCCTGACTTACACAATAAGTCACATGTTGGGAACAGAAAATGTTTAAAAGATTATAAAGAGAAATGCCTTATGTATCAAATTTGATGCAAATAAATGATCTCATTTCACTTATACAAACTTTCTTTTTTGATGTCATTTGTCATAAAACTCAATGACAACTCTAATACAGTGTCAATTATTTCATGGTCCAGGCTTTAAAGAATTAAATAAAATAATTGAAAAAAAAAAGAAAAACATTTTTCATTTTAAAATCTTAAGCGTTTTTTTTTTTTTTTTACTAGAGAACCACAATTGTTCAGTTTGGTATAGAGGCAATTTTCTGATTCACATATTTCATAAAACACCTGAACTGACCTTTCTTTTTTATGGCTTAATGAGAGCAATGGGATTTACGCTGCCCTGCAAGGCCTTTAAACCTGGGTTTGAATGGCAACAAGGCAATCCCCAACACATATCATGGTGCTCATTCGTGAGCCTGGATTGATATTTAATTTTGATTATGTTCATGGTGGGGAAATCCTGCTTCACAAGTAGGGTGAGCCAAACATACTCAAAATGTGCAGGGTCATCTTTGAGCACACCATTTCACTTTTTGTTTAACCAGTTCACCGAGGTTCTTCCAGCAGTCCATCTGCTCTTTTTCTCTTCGTCTTCTCCTTCTCTCCCATCGCACGGCTTGCAACAAGTTTGTCTGCTGTGTCTTAAAGTGGCTTGCAGCAGCAGCCCTGACTGACAGCAGCTCATTGGCAAATTTGTATCATGTGTAGCCTGGTGCCGGACGCTCCGGAGGGTTTTACTATACAAACGGGAGAAGCGGCACAAGTGAAGTTAGACACTGTCATCCAAAAACATGCTGTAATTTATAAATAGTCTGCTGATCCATGACCTCTGTGCTAGACCAACACTCCCCTACATTACATCAAATTACATACACTTGGTTTCAACAGTATTCACTGAGAAGATACAGATAGTAAAACATAGATAAGAAAAGAATGAGAACCTCTATTAGGTAGTACCCTTATCAGTTTTCTGATTTTACTTTAAAAGCAAATGTTCATAAGTGAGTTGGCATGGCTATCAACAGTCAAATGTATTTATAAAACTAGTTCAGTATTATTATAGACTCGCTTTAAAACATTGTGCCCTATGTCCTTTTAGGAAAAAATGACTGAGGTAGTTGCAACCAAGTCTCAGGAGGAGTATGAAGATGACTTTGAAAAGGATCTTGACTGGCTAATCAGTGAAGAGGGCCGAAGTGAAGAGCAGGTAACCGGTACCCTCCCTGTTTTTCCTTTTTTCCAATACCAGTGCGGGGATGGCTTGGTGGGATGCAGGTGTGGTCTGGGGTGAGCAGTGTTTTGCAAAATATCTATGTCGGGTTTAATGATGTTATCATATTCCTACTTTTCTCTTTATGTGATAGACCGACCCAAGGCAGTATAACAGTTAAAGGAAGGAGAAGGATATATGTTTTTTCCCTGTTTCTTAAATAAACATTTTAGGAAAGGTGCAGCACTTATGTGTTTTTAGCCTTTGTGAGTCAATAACTTAACTACAATTTAAACAGCTAGTTTTTCGGGGGGACCTTTGCTCTGTTCCTTTGGAGAGTGACAATATCTACTTTATCTGTGCAAAAAAGCTCAGACTTAGGTCATTTTGGTAGATACAACCTGTTAAAAGCAATTAGCAAGTTTTGTCCAAAATTTTTAATTTTATCGTGTTTAAGACTTTGGTTAGACTATTTTAACACATGAATATAGTTTGACCATTAGATTTGCACTACAGCTTTGTGATTCTGTTTAGATTTGTTGTCCCTTTATGTAGGACATGGTTAGTTTTGTTTCATATAAGCTTATTTTCATTATGGCCGGTTAGTATCTAAAAAAATTAAAATCCATCAAAATTATTAGTCCCATCCAGACAATTAATTTCTTTGCATTTGGACTCAGTACTGCACCGAAATAAACTGCTGTTTAAGTTAAATTTGAAATTGTTACCATTAGTTATAAAAAAGTTATCATCCAGAATTTTAGAAAAAGGTTCCTTTTATACACTTGCGCAGTAACCAGTGTAAGCTTTAAAGCATCTGACCTTAACATTTTTTGATGCATTACTTTTACTTTGCATTACTTTTACAATTTAAGTATTTGCCAAAATGGCACTTTTCCAATTTTACTTGAGTAAAAACTTAAGGTTAATACTCTAACTTCAACAAAAAACTTCAACAAAAGTGTTTTAAACAGTAGGAGTTATATTTTTACTTGTGTAATAAACATTAATACTTTTGACACGTCTGCCTGGCTTGCTCCATGGACAGGGAACTGGTAAGACTTAATGGCAGCAATGTGTACCCAATGTCTGCTGTGCTTGCACAGAGACTGTATGGTCCCTAAAAAAGGGTGGGCTCACCAGGAAAAAGGTTCGGCCATCAGCCATAGGTCTTCCTGGGGAGACTGAGAAGTGTCATCCCCCTATAGTTAAAACACATCCTCTGGTCCCCCTTCACAAGGAGGGTGAACTACCACCCCAGTCTGCCCGTCCGGGGGCACTGTCCCTGACCGCCACATGATGCTGAAGTAGCGTTTCAGCCATGGCATCCCAACAACATCCAGAGACCTAAGGTGGATCTGAAGCCACTGTGGAGTTTTTTTGACCACTTCAGGGACTTCCTCTTGGGTGATGTTGAATCTGTCACCAAGCACCCTGTCTTCTTCCACCGCAGGAGATCCTCAATATCTTCCTTCCACCGTCCAATAATGTCCTCAGTCAGGGTCAGCAGCTCCCTACTGTCACTGAACACAGTGTTAGCAAAGCACTGCTTCCCCCTCCGGAGGTGCTGGACAGTCTTCCAAAATTGTTTTGAGGCTGACCGATAATCTTTCTCCACCAAACTCCTCCCAGGCCTGAATGTTTGTTTCTATGACCTCCTGGGCAGCAGCAAGCTCTCCATATCGATACCTGCTTGCTGCCTCAGGAGTCCCACAAATAATCCAGGCTCGGTAGGACTCCTTAGCCTGACAGCATCTCTTACTGCTGGGTTCAGGGTTTGTCACCATGATAGGCGGCACAGACCTTACAGCCACAGCTACGGGCAGCCATGTGCAGAGAGTGTTGAAGGCAGCCCATGGTTAAAAGATAAAACTACAAAGTTGATAATCGACCATCAAGGCTGGAGGTCAATGATGGACACCCTTTGCCTAAACATGGTGTTCATTATGGATAATCTATGACTTGCACAGATGTCCAGTAAAGAGCCCTGGCTTTGTCTTTGTCTGACCTGTCAACAAGAGCCTCGGAAGATCCTACCAGGGGCATTAAAGTCCCTGGCAATATAGCATCTGGGATCATCTGAGCACTGAAACTACTCCACCACGTTAAGGTGGCGGTTCGAGGACGGGCTTCTTCAAAGTGTGCTAGGTAATAGGTTGCTATATGACCTAGTAAATCTCACTGCCTGCATGTGAAACCAATGCTCTTCACATACAGTGGGATACTTTTACTCTGAAACTCCCCAATGCAATATTGATAAGAAAATAGACATATATGTTAACACAGATCAACTGATAAGTGCCGATCTTGTTTTTTTTTTTTTTTTCTTTACATTATAAGAAATAATGAAAGCAATATGTCTCTTACCTACCTAAAAGGGCTGTGAATATGATGCAAAAAAAGACAAAGAGGAGGAGGAACACGTGAAAGCAGTAATAGCGAAAATAATTGAAAACGGGAGCCAAAAACCAGGCCATGTGGAAGAGGATGAGGAGAGGTGGCCCTCTCCTATGGAGCCATTAGAGTACGACATAGACCAGGAGGGCCCAAGTAAATCATCGCCTCTTGAGGCAGAGGAGCAGTCAGATGAAGAAAAGAAGTACATGTTAGAGAAAATCCAGCAGGCTAACAAGGAGCTGCAAGAGCAGGAAACGCCAGATGTGACTAGAAGGAGGCGGCTACATTTTAAAGAGACACTGGTGGACCTGGTGGTGCCCCCAATTGATCTTCAGGCAGAATGCAACACCACTGAGAATAATGAAAAAAATAGCAGCAAAGGTGAAACAACGGTTCCTGGTGCAGACACAGAAGTATCGGGGAAGATGTCTGAGTTGAAGCTCTCTCCTCGTAATGAAAGCATAAGATTGAAGGGATCGAACGATGAGGACCTGGAGCAATCTAAGGAGATTAAAGTTCTTGTGGAAAAAAATGGGAAGTTTGACTTTGTTAGTATGAAGGATGTGGAGTGTCAGAGTGTCCTCCCTCCTATAACAAACAATGTAGGCAATAGTACACAGTCTTCACCAGGTATCCATCAGCGGGTGGGCAAAACCTACAGCTCCTTCTCTCCTCAGCACCGTATCGGCTCATCCTCCTTTAACTTTGGCATCAATCCACTTCAAGCACCAAGACCTCCGACTCAGCCCAAGATCAGACCCAGTTCAGCCAGTCATAGCCAGAGAGGGACCCAGAGCAAAAACAGCAAGAGGCGGGTGCAGTCTGCAGCAGGAACACCATCACAGGCCACCTATACCCTCTCACCACAACAGAAAGAGCTGCTGCAGAGGATCCAGGAGAAGAAGGAGAGGCTCGCTAGAGAGGTTACATATAAAATGTTGTTGATAAAAAATATCATTAACCTTTATTTATATTAACCTTTATTAATTAATTTTTTGTTTTTCTTGTCAGGCAGAGCAGAGGAAACATGAAGAAGAGGAGCTTAAGAGACAGGAGAATGAGCAGGCCTTTAAAGCGTGGTTGATGAGGAAAAGAGAGCAGCTTAATGAGGAGAGAAGGATCCAACGTGCAAAGGAGATAGAGATGATAAAAGTAAGCATTACTAACCCAGTCTAATACTCATCCCCCAGTAAAATGAGATTGGTCCATCCTCATCCTAGTACTATGAAACTTGAGTCTTACTAATTTCCTCAGAGGGAACCTTTACCCAAGCCTGTGTTTAGTCAGAGTCACAGTCAGTAAAACATATTTGGCTCCATAAGAATGAATAATACTATAAGCTTTTTATGGCCAACATGTTCTTTAGAAATAAAGAACTTGTTTCTGTCATCAGACATTACAATGCGACCATATAAGTGCAATAACTAATGTGCAATCACTATTAAATAACCTGTAAAATAACCTGTGCAGTGATACCATATGCAATAACATGTGCAATAATCCTGTTTAAGACTAATAAAAATTCAGCTGTATCTCCACTGTGAGATCAATAAAACCTATCTCATCTAATCTTGTCCTAATTTTTCTTAGTGGCTATAATTATCAAAATAAGATAGAAAAAAGACAGAATATTAGCTACTAGCTGTATGTTTGAGGAGACTCTGCACAGGTAATCAAGTTTTGATGCACAATAAACCTCTTTAAAGAAGGACTTTCTTGGAACTTTGCCTAATTTGGGTTTTGCAACTACACAATAATCCAAAACACACTTTAAAATAGATTTTTTGGATGGACCAGTAATCCTGTCTACTACTTAAGTTGTACTCAGAAAGAAAATCAGGTGATTATATCACACAACTCTGTTGTGCCTATCTCCGGCAGTCTATGAGTGAGAAGCAGTGTACAATACTGGGGTATTAAAAGTTATAATGCTGATAGAAACTTTGCAATTAAGAAATAAAAGGTTTCAACAATAATCTTTGAATTGCTTCTGTTTATGTTTGTTGATAGAGAGACTCCTGTGACCCAGAAGAGGCCTTCAGGTCATGGCTTCAGAGGAAAAAGGAGCAGCAACAGAGAGAGAGGCAGCTGGTGGAGCTCAGGAAACTTGAGGAGGACAGTAGTTACCTCTTACACAGCAGAGAGGAGTGTGAGCGTGCCTTCAAACTGTGAGTTTAAACCCTTTAATTGTTATATTCAAAGTCATTATAGTATTGAGAAACATATTTTTTGCTTGTAGATGATTTCACATCTCAACATTTCACATAATACCAATGTCAGTGTCGTGGCAGTGTAGTTAAAAGTGATGTCTTTGTAAAGGTTTCAGTTTTCACCACACTGGAGCCTGTAATGTACGCAATCCGTTGGTCTGCTTTTCTGGAAGCAGATAAGTAGGCCATACAGTTAGTTACCTCTTTGTGTGGTTTGTCATTCTGTCTTGGGTATTGCAGACTGACAGAGGTGTTGAATTTGTCTCAGTTAGGAGGGATAGGGTTAAGTTTAAAAGGTGGTGGTAAAAGACACAGTAGTAACAAGGGAAAGAATAACTGGCATCACTGATGTGAGAACTATAATAGTAATTATGTTTATTTAGGTTTTTAAATTCTGTTCTTGAAATATGTGGCTGAGAAAAGTATCCAGGGGTGCAAAGTAACAAAGTACATTTACTTGATTACTGTACTTACAGTAAGTGCTTGTTTTCAGTACTTCTTTCACTCCCCTACATTTCAAAGTCATATTATTTACTTTCTAAACCACTCCTTTTCTAGGAAGCTGTTAGTTCCTTGTTCCTTTTGGCTAAGCTTAGCTCTGTAATTCGTTGTACCTGTTTTTTCTTTCTTGGAATGCTATTTCAACATGACAGATTAGAGCCCTTAGGACTGAATCTGGACACCAGTGTTTTAGAGCTTTGGATGACGTTCCACAACTGTGAGAAACTCAGGACAGATATTATTGTTAGTTTATTATTTTTATTAAAGCGTTAGTTGTTGCCATGTGGCCAAGTTGTTCAGTAGGATGAGTACTCAAAGGAGATTTATAGTTTCTTTGTGGTGGTAGATACAACCTTAAACCTCTATTCCATTGTGAAAGTGTGAGGAGTATCAAGACGGTACTTTTTTCTTCTTGTTTCTATTTTAAATTTAAAATAATCAAAATAACTGTCCTTATTTTATTGTTGCATTTTTATGCTAAAGTTCTTTACAGGTGGCGTCGAATCTGTAGCAGGTGGTTTCTGAAAGTTACAGGTTCTTAAAATACTTCAAAAATTATACACAAAAGTACTGATATTAGAAAATGTACTTTGTATTTTTGAATACTGAAGTACTTATAAATGCACATACTTTTAAATACTTAAGTATTTTCAAAAGTGAGTACTTCAACACTTTAACTGGAGTAGATGTTTTACCCGAGTACCTTTTACTTGTAGCTGAGTAAGATTTGACCATGAGTACTTTTACTTAAAGGTAAAATAGAGGATTTTCGCAAATGTTTGAGAAGAGCCGCCCCCTCCACTTAAAAAAAAATGCACATGCACAACCCTGTACCCTATTAAACGCATGCAGGAGCATGCATTAGCCCCTTTCTTATTGTACACACTCTGTTTAAAAGTTGCTCTTTGCATCGCTCATACAAGCTTACTTTTCAAAAGAAGATTTACAATTTTTTCACTATGTCAGACTCACCACCGGTAAGTAAAAATTGGGATGAGCACATAGGACAGCCTTATGTAAACATATCACCAGAATGATTGACAAATAGAATGACCACTTATTTTGATGATCCACCCAGAAAAAGAACATACTCCACTATACATTTAAGTTCTACTGTTGAGTACTTCATCCACCACTGAAAATATCACTGTCCCGATCAAGCCTAGATCTGCCTGGAACCATGCAATACCAGCCAAAACATATTTATCACTAGAATGATTATTATTGTAAAAAAAAAAAAAAAATCACCCCTTTTAGTCCCATTTTTGTGATTTTTTTCTTCAGGTGGCTTAAGCGTAAACACGCTGAAAAGCGAGCAGAACAGCAGGCAGTCAGAGAGCACTCCCGTAGGCTGGTGATGGAGGAGCGCCGTGCACGCCATATGAGGGACCTGATGTGCCCTGTCAGTGAAACAAGGCCCTTTCGGTTCATGGAGCAGCTGACATCTTTAATGAAAAAAGAAGGTTTTCATCTCTAATTCTAACTTCAGCTGTCTAAAACATAAATAATTCTGAAACACACACGCTCACCATTCAGATATTATAGAATGTGCAAAATTATACTATCTCTTTAAGAAAAAAATATATTCAGTATGAAAAATGTTACAATTATTACAATTCCCCAATATTGAATCAGTGTATCACCTACTTTGAAAACATAACTATTACTGGAAATAAAAAAATAAAAAAACTGAGTGAAATTGTAGTGTTAGCATTAGTACTTAGATGCTGTAAGATATTTGGACTTAAAATTATAAAAAAAAATACCAACTCAAAATAGAAAACCATTAACTTCACAGTTCACAGCAGAAATAAACTAAATAGTACAATTGTGCTGGAAAAATAAAGGACCAATAGGTAAACAACACAATACAATACTAATATTATTAACTTTGCACTTTAGTATAGCACAGTACAAAAATAGAAATGTTCAGAAACAAATTTCAATCAATAAATAGTACAAATATATACTGAAAAGTTTCATTAAAGAACACATGGAGGACGCGACAGAGTTTCTTTAGACTGTCGCTACAGTTCATCTTTAGGGTTGATGTTGAGGCCCTGACCCCAAATGGACTGTGTTTCCAAAGCCTGGATCACCTCGTCTGCCTGCAGTCTTTCCTACAAGAAGGATCCAAAGACACGGAGACAAAAGTTCAACAAAAACATTTTCATCTAAATGTTACAGCTATTAACAAGAATTAACATTAAATATAATATATCGTTTAAATATATTATTTTTATACTCAGATTTTCATTTGGGTTCATGTTGTTACTGTATATTGAGCTGCGATGATTAACATTATATGTCAAAAAAGTGTGTGATGATGGAAATATTGTTCATGATGTGTAATTTTACATTAAAACCTATATGTTCCTGCAAGTATCTATTGTCTTTTTTAATCATGACTGGAATGAGGAAGTAGAGAAGTCATGAGTAACCTTACGAGAATATTTGTGGTGATGCTTTTTTATATTTGGATCATCGATATGATTTAATCTGGCCACCAAGATTAGCAAGGGATAAAAACAGGAATTATTCCAAGATTAGGAAAGGAGGAAACTTTCCCAAACAACTGTTTTTGTACTGTTTCTACAGTTTCTCTTTATCATGTTACAAGCAGAAACTTTATGTTAAGTGTAGGAGAGTAGTGGATTATTGTGAATAGGGAAGAAAACTATATATATATGCTGGTTAAATCTCTATACAAAGAGACTTCTGAAAGTGGGGCAAATATTGTGTAACCAGCCCATTTTGTTCTAATACCTTCAATAAAATCCTGTGAACCCAGCTGTCATCAGATAAATGAGTTAATAGAGTCTTAGTCTTAGAGTGTTGTTAGACAACATTACTAAAATCTCCAAAGAGATTTAAATCGGGGTAAGCTTACACAGTAACACCATTCCCTTCCTATATATGACCTTTATGACTTTATTGGCAAGAAGAAAGCCAAATACATTACATCAATGTTTCAGTTTTGACACAATCAATTAAAGAGACATGATAAACATTAAGAGGAGAGTGATATCTTATGAAATGATACTGAGATTTCACTTGCTGTCCTTTGAGCAAAATGCTGTTTATGATTGTCATGTACACACCAGCCCCACTGTGAAATATGGTGGTGGCAGCATCATGCTGTGGGGAGTTTTTTTTGTTTTTTTTACTAGGGATATGAGGGTCAGGGTTGATAGGAAGTAGGGCGAGGGCAAACCTAATAAACGGTTAGAAGCTAAACTGAATCACGGGTTCAAAGACAAAAGCAAGGAACTATAAAAATGTATGTAAAAAAAAAGAAAAAATATTTACTACTGCGCCGTTTACTGGGTGTGAGGAGTTAAACTTATAGCTATCTCCGTTAGCCTTGTGCATTTAAAAAAGGTACTTTCAGGTCACCTAGTTTTATCTAAAGGCTGTTTACCAGTTCTCTGTAGAGCGGATCCAAGGTGAACCATAGAGCCACAGCACACCTCTGCCCACCGGTGACAGCTTTCACACCATGTGGATTCTCTCCTCCTGATGAGAAACCCACCAGCCGACCACACTTTGGTTTTATGGATGCCTGCAGATGATAATAAAAAATATTAATTAAACAAATTTTATATATATATATATATATATATATATATATATATATATATATATATATATATATATATATATATATATATATATATATATACCTACATCCTTTGTGTTGCCCTGCAACAGGAAAGGCAACCTTTGCAGGGTGTACCCTCCCTCTCACTCATAGACTAGCGGAGATAGGCATAACAGAATAAGCGGAAGAAGACGGATGGATTGAAGTCTTTTGGATGTTTGGGTGGATGGATAGAAGTATTTTCCTCAAAAGAAATATCTGAAAATATCAAATTTGTCTGGAAAATCATCTTACCGTGACTGTTTTGGCATCCATTTCTGTGAATATAAACTCCCCTCCTTCAAAATCTCCATTTAGATATAGCAGTGCACTAGAAGGTAAAGAAAAACAGATCACACTAAGATCATCAACTTTATAAAATGACATTGTGCCTTGAAGACACATCGTATTTCCTACCTGTAGTCTCTGTATGTGTATGCAGGGGGTTCTTTCCAACACTCATTGGCGTCTGGATCGAGCAGACAGTTGTCAGCGTGGATGGGATGGCTCAGGTCATTTCTGTGTTCTTGTTGGCCTAAGGAACATTAATAAGCAAACAGCAACAAATATACACGGATGTCAGAAGGGTATTGTGTCACAATAAAGATTTTTTAGAGGATGAAAGTAATTTTTAGTTTGCCCATAGAAACTCAAACCTATAACATATTCTTGCTTCTTTCTGATCTAAAAGTTGCATGATACAAAAAAGCAATGCCAAATACAACCAAAAGGAATTAGTAACCTGTAATGGCCGTCCGACACACAAGGTGTGTGAAGGAGAAGTGCAGTGTAGTGTTCAGCATGAAGTAGGACTCCACGATCCGTCTAACTCGCTCACTGGTATCATAGAAGAGCCGAGCGCTGCTCATGGGCACCCTGCCCTCAAAGCCATACTGCATGGAAGAGAAAGTTAAGTGATATTGTCGGTGAAATCGTTTTATGAGCAAAATCCACAATGAGAACCCTGCTTCCTCTGGGTTAAATGTGCTTTAAACTAAGCAAGCAGTAATCATACCTGCAGGGTTTTCAGTACAGTGGCTCCTTCAAACTTCTCGTTGGGAGTGTGTGGGGACATCCTCCCTCTATAACCATCTCCTGCCATGGTCACAGCCTTGAAAATGGAAATAAAGTCAAAAGAGGGTTTCAGATATTGTTCTTCTCTACTCAACCAACAAAAATATTTTGGCTTATACTTTAGAATATAGTTTATTTAATAAATTAATGATGTACTTACATGTGCCAGGTTTCTGAGCTCTGCACATTCCTCCTCAGATATAACATGATCGAGGAGGACCCGCTGTGTGCCGTTTAAATCCAGAGAGTTCTGCACCAGCTCCACACTGTCGTATAGCAAGGGGCCACCTGCACACACAGGCAAACACAAATTAAATCTCATCACTTCTTTGATTCTCATGTCCATCCATTTCAAGTAACAGCTTTTCACTGGCTTACCCTCTTTAAGCTGCTGTGAAACAATGACAGTGATATTTTTCTTCTCTGTGATGGGAACGTACTCTATCCAACCATCTGTGCCAGAGGGAATCCTGTGGAGACACCAATTCATTCAGTTCAAATATACTTTATTTAACCTAAAGCGAAATTAAAAGCCATATTATTACTTTTACTTTTATATGATGAAGCTATAAATCCTTAAACTGATACAGAAAAAAACAACAACCTTCAAATAATACTCTAAAATAAGTGTTTTGGGTTTTATTACAACCTACCTGTTGGAATCATCTCTTCCTCCTGTGGTACTCCAGTAATTCTGTATAAAAGACAAATTGAAACCTTTGAGTAGTCTGACTTTAAGCACTGCTTCACAAACATTGCTGGATATATATATATATATATGAAAAACCCTGTTTGGTTGCTAGTTTTTGTTGCATGTAAAATATCTCATTATGACCATAAGGTGGTGCTGGTGTCTGCAGATACAGTGGAGCTCTGAGGCTCTGCCAGACACCTGTTGCTTCACACATAAACAAGAACAAGACATACAGACAGCATGTTTCATGTCTTAGCAGAATCGCTCTTTTAGAGCTGGCATATTCTCACAATTTGCTTTAAAAATCCAAAAACGTGCAAATAATCAAACCACACTATAGGAGTCAAATGAACTCACCCCTTCAGAGAAGTCAACACCCATTATCTTGCTTCCCATGACAAGGAGATCCAATTCCAGTTGGTGTCTCGTAAGGTATCGTTTTGCTTCCTAAGGAGAAACAAAAATCAGCAATATCTCATTAGAAGTTTTATGATACTCTTACAGATATGCCATTCAAGACTTTTAATTTATCACTATCTATGCTCTCTTTTTTAATGTATATTTAAGGCAATAACTTAAATGCTTCAAAGTTATGAAATCTTAACAAAGACAAGTGTCATGGCAAATATTAAAGTAAAGATAGTTGTACTTTAACAGCAGCTGGAATTAAGCTCACATGTTGTCAATGTTAATAAGAGTTTATTTAAAAGAATGATTCTAAAAAAAACAGTTTGGGACATTGGAAAAAACAACAATTTTGTCCTACATGATGATGTTGGAAAATCCCCAAAACTGAAGGTATCATTAGGGTGGATTACCTTTTTCCTAACTTTTGGTTCAATGAGAGCAGCAGTTGATATGTTTTCCTAAATATCAGTAATTGCATGTTTAACATTCTGCTTTGCTATAAAACTGCCTTACTAGCTGTAACCTTTAACCCAGTTCCAGCTGTACCGTATCTAGCCAAAAAAGACTGCAGGGAATCACACTAATCATCACAATATGTGGAAAATACTTTTTCATCGAAAATGAGAAAAAACGGCTACACAAAGATATTCCTTAGTAGCCTGGGTGCCATTCCGAACTTAGTCCCGCCCACAACGTTTGAATTGAGTAGGACTACGTCAGGCTAATTCCGTAGTGCCTAAATGACATTTATATATATTGTGGCAAAGAAAGGACAACAGAATTAAGGGTTAAAACAAAAAACACATCTTATTTTTATATAATTTAAAACAAGAATACACACAGATGTTTCCATATGTCTAAAAGGACTGTTAAAGGTTTTACATCTTCATATCTTTAAGAGCGAATGAAGCTTCGCTCAGAAGAGCGTTACAAAGCAGCCTGCAGCACTGATCTCTTTCATCAGTTTTTGAAAAACAGCTTGAAGATGGAAACTTTAAGCAGGCTCTCCCTCTCCCTTCTTTTCCAAAACAGGACCTTTGGCCGGGGAGGCATGTTGAGCCAGGTACTGACATCCTACAAATGAGCTCCCAGAGGCAGAACGGAGAGAATGCACAGGAGGAAGCAAGCTAGAGACCAACCATTGTGCTTTAAACTGACAAGAGGTGAAAAAAATGGGAAAAATAAAAGCTAGGACTAAAAATAACACATTATCCTCCAGGATGCTAATATCAACTACTGTAAATGTTAGCCAGGCAGTCAGATATGCTGCTGGACACTTTGCCTGCTCTAATGAGCAACAGGCTTTTTCTAGGAAGAGGGGACAAAATATTTTGGTAGGCAGTTGCTGAGGATTGTTTAGTTAAAGGCTCTGATGACCCCCCAGGCAGTGGCTCCTTTTGAAAACCTTTAACTCCTGCTGAGTCGTGAGGTTTTTACAAAGGTTGTCAGACTTTCTCTTGAACAACATCTTTATTTGCCTTTTGTCTTTCTGGGTTGGAGCATAGTCAGGGCCTTTTTCCAGTCTGTCTTCAATAGAGGAGAGCAGATTTCTGGATTTTGAGGATGATTTGTGGATCTAGCAATCATTTATCTTTATTTTCTAAGGTTTTTAAGGAAAAATAAGAGGACTTGCTGATTATGTAATTTACCTGCATGCAATGGCGTAAATATCAGTAAGCAGAGACTGCAGTTGCAACCTCTTAGGGGCCCCGTCACTGACATCTAGTTGGCCCCCTACGCAATTGTGGACTAGGTCGGGGGTTGTTGTAGTTCGTATGGGGCCCACCCAGATAATGTTGCTTACGGGCCTATTGTTGGTTCATTATTCCAATGCCTGCATGTGTTAATTTCTAACAATAGTCTCAGTGCTGTTACTTACTAAGCTGAATAATTCAACCATTTACTTCTTCCTAGAATAGTAATGGTAAACTCATCTGTGAATGACTCGGCGAGTCTGGGATTCTCTTATAAATTCACTAAAGAAAATGGTTGGATATAAATAAAGTTTATCTTTTGGAAAATTGTGTTACATAATCTATTTTGGTAGATATGTCCGAGTGGACACATTTCTTCGATTTAGCCGTCATTATATTTTTTAATAACTATTTCAAGTTAGATCTCTGATCATTAAATGTGCCTTTTTAATGTGACCATTTACTTTGGTGTTGGTTTAAGGAGCTCCTGTAACGCCACAACATCTGCTTTTAGATCATAGCTGAGCTTTTCAGGTGGCCTGTATTTGAACTAATTGCGTACTCACATCCATATTAGCAATACATTAAAGCAGAGTTTAATTGTTGCTGCTTGGAGGTCCAAGTTAACCAAAACACCTGCATGACCATTTACCCTTTTATATACAATTTTCAATTTTTGCATTATTGGCTCAATAATAAATTAAATAATTTTAGTGGTTTTGGACATCATACATTACAATAACAGCATGAAAGTCTATTTGAATATACAGAAGAGCCGTATGAAAAGTAAAATTTATTTCAATTATTTCCCGGCATATCTTTGCAATACTAGCAATGGTCACACAAATATTGTGATGGTAATATGTGTTGTAAAACCCTTGACGGGACAGTTTTCCAAAGTCCAGTTTTCAGATGGTGAGAGGCAGAGGCCAAGCTGCTTGAAGTCCAGGGTGGAGTCTCCACAGTCTGAGATCATTTGTGGAGACATATCATTTACCAGTGATGGCTCGCTGATTTCCATCAAGTCTAAAGTCAGTACAGTTTTCTATCAGGACCTTATAGAGGAATTCAAGTTCCCTCTGCTGCCAAATTTTATAAGGATGTTTTTTTTTTATCTGCTAATTTTCTAAGAAATTGTATTTTAGGGTTTCAGATGCTGTAAGCCATTGCAATGAACAGAGATGAACAATAAAAATACATCAATCTGTCTTTACTTCTGCACATGAGTTTTCTATTTATTGATATAAAGTTGGTAATCAATTTCACAAAAAAAAAATTATTATTGCTGACGTTCTAATTAAAATTTCAGCCTTGTAGAAAGAAGATCAAGGAGTCAAACCATAGCCTGCTGTCTGTGTTTGTTCCACGTCCATTTGTTGGTTCTTTCAGGGTACTCCTTCACCAGCCCAAAGAAACGAGTATTAGTTCTTAGAATAAAGGTATAGTGGAGGATGTTCTTTTCCCGGGTGGATCATCAAATTAAGTGGTCCTCCTAATTGTCAATCATTCTGGTGATATGTTTACATAAGGCCGCCTATTTTCACTTAACGGTGGTGAGTCTGACATGGAAAGTAAGCTTGTACGAGTGATGCAAACAGCAACTTTTAAACAGAGTGTGCACAAGGAGAAATGGGCTCGTGCATGCTCTTGCACGCTTTCAATAGGCGTTCCCTCTTGGGGGCGGGTACAGAGTTGTGTAAGTGCATTTTCTTTTAAAGTGGAGAGGGTGTGTATTTTCAAAAACTTGTGAAAATTCGCCATTATACCTTTAACTGATCTCCATTGTATCCTTAGATGTGAGAGAGTTTGCATGGCTGTCTGTTCTGTGTCTCTGTGTTCCCCTGTGATGGCTGAGGACCTGTACATGATGTACAAAGCCTCTCAAACAATGACAGCTCAAGCATAAGTCCCAGCTCCCTGCCTAGAGAAGCTGGTATAGACAAGCGATGGATGGACATTATTAGAATTTATTAATATTTACCTGCCCATCATTGCAGCTCTTCCTTGAATCCTTTCCTTTACAAACTGACTTAACTTATTTTATGTTTCTCCAGCCGGTAACAATGACCCATGTTTATTTTTAACATACCCACCATAAAACTGATCTTTGAAGCCAAAAATCCCATCTGCAGAACATTTTCCATCAAATCCAAACCTTAGAGCCTCATAGCCAGCCAGTCTATTTTACTAACTGTATCCAGAGTTGAATAATGAGACTAACTACTGTAACAGCAAATTTCTGACCTCTCGTGGATGGCCGTCGTGTCCCAGGATTTCTCTGTAGAATTCCACATTGTCCGTCATGAATTCATCTCCCTTGTGAAACAAGAGGTAGGTCAGAGCGCACTGGAGCGCCCCCTCCAGCCTGTTGACTGCAGAAATAAAACATAACAGAGTTGAGAGCAGTTTGAAGTTTGTGATCTTACTATATTACATATATTACCACCGATTGGTAATATCATATTATAGATTAGCTAAAGCTGAGTACTGATTTGTGAGGGAAAAAATGTTTGCTTCTTCATGTCAATTAATTGTTTCAAAAGACTGGCTACTGCATGGCCATTTTTTCCCTTGGAAAGGCATGCACATTTTAACTGTTTCGTAACACATAAATCTGGAACTGGGGACCTTTTAGTTGTGTGTTTCTGCTAGGTGCAAACATTCTTTACTCTGCTGTAAAGGTGAAAGGTTAATGCAGGACTTTCCCTTTCAGCTGAAGCAATCAATTTGTTGCTGTCAGCTGCAGTTTACAGATTTACGGAGATTTGAGCTCAAATAGAAACATATTTGTAAGGATTTACTGGCAACTGAAACAGATAAAGTACCCTAAACCAGTGCTGAGTGATTTAAAACTTCCACTGATGATGCTGCTGCAGAGAAGAAAGCAGACGGAGGCTGCAGTGCAGAACAGGTTCTTCATAGCAAATCGATGGTGACCATTATGGTCAGATTACTCTTTTTACAAATTTTTATAGTTGAAGACCATGTGGGCTGTCAAATATCAAATCCTCACACAAACCTTAACTTGAAAACTGATTGCCAGACTGTTTAAAGAAATTCACATAATCATGGAGACACATCTCTGAAAATCTAAATATTTAGAAACTGTTTCTAAGCTGGGTGGAGTCCTCAGCAAAATCACTTAAGCTGTCTGCATGTTATTGCGGTTACCCTGAGTGCTTGTATCTGCATGCATGAACTGTTGAGGTAATAATCCTCCTTTAGATCATATCTCTACATTTAAAAAAACATGCACAAGGACTTCAAATGGAGAATGGACAAATCTAACATTTATTCACTTAATTCAGCATTTGGGTTAACTCATAAAAAACAACAAGAAAACTGTATAAGACTATAAACATTCTACCTTTAAAATAGGCAAACTGAAGGTAATCATAATGAAGAGGCAGGTAGTTCTCCATGGGAGAAAGGCGGCCTGGACGGGTAGCCAGGTCTCGGACACACTCGTGCTCGCAGTGCAACACCTGAGTGAAGTGATCTGAAACAAATGCATCAACAAAGATAACAGGCTTTTACTGATATGTAATAAAAGACCTCTTAGAAGGGAATGAGTCATTACTTATAATGCAAATTAAAATAAAGTTCACAATTTCCACTGATAAGGAATTAATATCTGGAGAATCCTTTTTTTCCAAAAACGTGTTTGGTTTCGCTTGCTTTACTTATCATTTCCTTATGCCATGGTTTTAAGGACAACCAGCAGTAACAGCATGAGTGTTTGAATGTGTTGTTAACATATATGCGCAGTGAGGTCACTCTTTTAACAGCTGCAGCACAATTTTCCTCAGACAGACCAGCTGTAATGTGTTTCAATTTCTTTAAGAGCTCCCGAGAAACAGAGGTCAAACGTGAGTCATGCATGACTCTAACACAATTCAGGTCAATTACAGAAATTCAAACTTATACAGTTGGAAGTAGCTCTGTTAAATCCCTTCCTTTCTGATCCAAGTCAAGCATGAGATTGTTTTAACAAACCCATATTTTATTACACATAGAAACATTATGACTGAGAATTCTTCTGTTGTGGTGCTATGGAAAATAATCCCTTCATTCAAAGCAAAACAAAACTAGTTGGATTTTTTTGGAAATTATTTTAATCAGACCAGACATGAGAGAGTCAGAAAACTCTTGATAGCTATTAAGCTACTGAACAAAAACTTGCTTTGTTTTCCCCCCAAAATTGGCCTCACTTTTGTCAACAAGACACTCCTAACAGCAAAAACTTGAGCTAATGAGACTTGTTCATGTGAAGCTAAGAGTAGAAGGGAAAATGCATGGCAAATAAAAACAGTCTACAGTTGGGATTCTTTGTGAATTCCAGAGGTCAACAGGGTCCCATAGCTCAGGATTTAAAATAGACATCTGAGGCTAAATCCTATCAAATTAAAAGTCTATGCATCTTATCCCCTCAAAACTTACACCAACTTCAGCAGCTTTTGCAACAGTTAACCTGGCAAGGGGCCCAAAATTTGTTTAACGGAATGAATGTTGTGAATTGAAAAATGAAAACACTGGGTTTCAAAGGTTTTCAAAGAAAAAAAGAGTGTTTTACTTTGTGATATTGTCAACTGTTCTACGTCTATGAAGATAACCAGAGCTACGTTTATACCATGACTGCCAAGTTTAGAGAAAGTTTAGTGCTCTGTATGCATGCTGGGCGCCTCCGGGATGCATTGCTGTCCCACTCAGGACAAAAGCTTGTGACATTTCATGGGCATTAACACGCCGTGCATTATGCATAAGTTAGGCTGTCGTTGGTCATAGGTTCTGGGCTCATTACGAATAATCTATGCATACGCCCATAATTGAAAAAATATGCAGAAAGTTCAGCGTATGCCAGCATTTTAGAAGATTCTGGAGCATACGCTGGCTAAATAAATGTCAAGGTGTGACAGGGCTATAAGAAAGGACAAAAACTCTGCCTTTATATAGTTAAGGCCTAAAACGATAAGCTGGAGTTCACCTAAATATTAATATAAAGCCATTTGCATGGGTAGTAAATATACATAAATGGGTTAGGGCAATAGCCCAGCTAGTTATTGCATATGTAGCCCTCTTCATACACCTGGCATTTTTCTTAATGTTGATATATTTTACACCAAAGGATTATTAGAGAATATTAGAGAACAAATATAGAAAAGCATCATAAAAAAGCATAAAAAGGTATACAACACATGAACTAATATGCATTTAAATTTAGGTTATAAAACAATGTCCCAAGCTCTAAACATCCACAAAGCTCTGTTCAATCCTTTACCTCCAAACGGAGAAGTCAGTCAGCAAACCTGTGCAGAGGACAACTTTAGTCATGCAGTAACGGATGGGTGAAAACAACTAATCCGTTGTTTAAATAAATCTGACTGAACTTGATCTATATAGCAAAGAAGAATGTGAACAACAAATCAGTCTCTACATGCGCAAAGCTAGAGACCTACAGCTCTTTCACAAAAATATTGACTGGGGAAAACACAATACACATTTATGGCGCAATTTAGATTTCATTTCTTTAACTTTTATGATTACGTGCTACTATATGCCAGTCATGTGCTACTGTATGCCAGTAAATCTCACACCCTTTCCCACAAACTGCTAAAATGTAAAAAAAAAAATATATAAAATCACTGCATATCCATCAGCTATAACTGTAATGACTGATTGTGCTTCTATTTAGAGATGCACATCTGGAACTCGACAGTCTACTGATCTGTAATGGAGATTAGAGGAATAGTATGAGGAAATTGCTGTTTAGTGTTTAGTTATTGTCAGTAGAGCTTTCAAAGACGGATAATTTCAGTTATGAATTTCAGTTGAGCAAATAATATACACCTTTTTATTAATTAACACCTTTTTATTTCAAAGAAGTTCTAGCTGAAGCATTTTGGTCTATTTTGACACTGGCTTTGACAATAGTTTTATGGACTATGCTTTTACTACTTCAGCCAAGGAGGTTCTTTTTTGTTTAGTTTTGGAAGTGTTGGTTTGCTGGTTAGCAAGATTAACAATCATCAACAAATCATGGATTGATTGCTCTGTTGTTTTAAACAACAGGTATGGCTTCATCCAACCAAGATCCCAATAAATCAGATTACAGGATCTTTGGATTTAGGAATCTTTCATATGATTCTTTATAAGCTGCTTGGTGAAAGTCTGCACTGTCAGTGTTTTCTAATTATTCTTTTATTCTCATGTATTCAAACCAAACTGCATCTTATGAAAGCACCGTACGAGATCTAGAAATTATTTCAAAGAGCTGTCACACACCAGTGATGATGGCAAGAAATTGAAATAGAAAATAAATCAAAGCTTTTAATACATTGAAGCAGAGGTTGGATGTCAGTTCAAAAAAACTACTAACAATAACAGGACATCTTGCTGCATAACTGATTCTGCAAATTTTCCAACATAACATCTGCTTTTCTAGACTCTGAGTTGGCCTGAATCTATTGTTCTGTTGCAAATCAAAACTATTAACAAGGTATATCTATCTTCAAGTCCAAGTATAAAGTTATTATCCCAACTATTATAGATTTTAACCACTTTAACCAATAGATCACCTTAAATAAAAAAAAAAAAAAAACAGGTCATACAGTCTCAAAAAGCAAAACCAAACCACCCTTCTTTGCTGCTTCAGGTCCCTGTTAATAAATTTTTTTAGGTGTTCCTGTCTTACCTGACACGACTTCATGTAGGCTGTAACGGTAGCGTAGGTGATCGTGGCCCTCAAACTTTTGTGGACCCTGGCACAGGGCCCGACACTCCACATCAGCTCTGTAGTATTCCACCAAAGCATCCTCAAACAGAGTCACAGCTTCTTCATAGTCGCGTTTGTCGTAAAACTTTACTGCCCTCATAAATAATTGCTGTCAAAGAGAAGCGACAAGAAAGGAAAAGAAGTGATTCAGGCTCCAAGTCTTCAGACATTCCTCGTTTCTGAATTTTCTGCATTTAAGGTTCGATATTTTCTTGTGATCATATTGTCTTTAGCAAATTGTTTGCATGATTTCTGAGGGTCAAAGTTTCCTTTAGCAATAATTAATTTCAGCACAAAAAGATACTTAATGGCAGAACAAAACTTTTATGCAATCCCACAAGACTAAGCTGAATTTACTGATTATTTAACTTTTTAAAAGTGTAGTGGAGGATGTTCTTTTTTAATATTTTTTTTTTATGTGTCAATAGTCTTATTTGCGGGGAAACTTTTTATATATAAATATGGGTGAGATGAAATCCATCCAAATAACCCTCTTATCAATGGGTACCTTCACCTCCTCGAGGTGAAATGGGGTCATGTACGCTTTCGCACGCGTTTAGTAGGCATTCCCTCTGAGAAGCGGGTACAGGGTTGTGCATGAGAGTTTTTTTTTAAGTGGAGAGAGGGGGTCTTTTCAAAAATTCGTGAAAATCCTTCACTATACCTTTAACACAACTATCACCCTGGATTTCATTTTGGGGAATCAGGGTAAGAACAGAAATACAAAAATGGCTTTTAAAGATGAAAAGAATGTTTTGAAAACAAAGCATTATTTTAAAATGTATTACAGTAAGGGTTTTAGTTGTGATGTAAGACACTCAAATAGTGTGAGGAATGTTTTGCCTAATAATAAACTGCCAAGAGAAGAAGGGGGGCAGGAGAGGCAGGTAAAGGAGCAACAACTCATAGGCATTCACAGCGTCACTGCTAAAAGGCCTAAATTAGTAATCCGTCTTCAAAACTCTATGGATAATTTGCAGATCAACATCAGCTGCACTTTTAAAATCAGATGCCACATGTTACAAATAAAAGGTCAATGTTAGCAAGAAAGTCTCACAAATAAGTTTCACCTGGTGGGGGCGTGCTTCCTGGTCCACAAAGTGGTTTTCTTCTACACCCTGCTGAGTTTTATACTGTTCAAGGTTTTGGCCCATCTCCACATGTTCCGGATTGGCCTGGAAGTAGGTATGAGCCGCTGCCGCCGCCTTTTCAGGCATCTTCAGCTGAAACAGAAAAACAAAAGCAGAGACGGAAAAAAAAAAAATCCATTACTAATCCAGTAAAGGGGGACTTTACTTTGGGTTAAATCACAAGAAATTCACACAAACTCATTTAAGCTGAATTCAAATAGATAAAAAGAGAACATAACTGCATCATCAGGGCTTTTCCATCACAGTCGATTGTGCTGTTCTGCTATTTATGTTTCATATTTATTTCAAACAGCAAAGCCTCTCAGTAGAACGGTTTTGCTGGGAGGACAGACTGACAGAAAAGCCAACATTTCTTTATAGCTCCATCTGGCAATAGATGCACTTGACAAAAATATGTTAAACGCAGAAATAGATAGTTGGACTACACTTCAAGCGTTGTCACATTTTAACAGAGGAAATCTGAGCAGATTTAGGAGGCTGTACTGTTCCCATCCACATCCTGTTATGAAAAGAGTGCCATCATTTCTTTGGCCAATATAATAAATAATTACTTCACAGTCAAAAACATATGAAGTTCCCAGATGCGGGTTAAAGGGGGGTATAGTAAAAAACCTGAACCCATTATTCAGATTTTCTTACTAAGACATGCATCTAACATGGATGTCTGATTAATGTAAAAAGCTTGTAAGAAGAAGAGTCTGCTGATTCTTTGCATTTTAAAGACCTTGAAGAGAATAATGTTTTAATTCTCTGAAAATCAGAACAATCAACACAAGTACAGCCTAAATTTAGCTAAAGCAGCATTGTATGAGGCTTGAAAAAAAAATACTGATGTCTATCATTTTTATAGCAACTTTATATTAATAAAGAATAGATAAAAAAAAAAATCCCAGGATTCCACATTATAATCATTACAATGGTGAAAGAAAACATGTTTAAAGATTTGAAATCATGCTCTGAGGGCTTATTTTCCACGAGCAAGTATTATCCATGATTGTAATCTAGCTTCCCTCATCAGCAATCAAGAGTACAACAGTGAGCGAACAGTAACAGTCTTTGTCCTCTTTGTTTGTCAGAACAACAAAGACAAAAAAATGCTATCATCTCTGCCTTGTGTCAGACAAGACCATAGTTTTCAAGCCTGAACATGATCTGGAGCAAACAAGCACCTTATACTGAATTAAGGTCAAAACATAAAAAAAGCTCAGCTCAGTGTTATCTACATTCTATGACTTAATAATAATTGAACTTTATTGATCTCACATTGGATAAATTTACCTCTGCATTTAACCCATTCCCTTGGGGAGCAGTGGGCTGCCATCATGGGGCGTCAATGGACCCAGAGCTGCAGTCTGTGGGAGTGGGGCTGGAACTCACAACCTCAGGATTCCAAGCTCTATGCCCTAACCACTGGGCCGCCACTCCCCTATATGGGGGACTTGTATGATATTGTTCACTAACGTTGGAAATTATTCGCAAAAACTAACATAATCTTATGAATTATGATTAATAAATACAGGTTTGGTTAGTTAGAGCTTTATTTGTGAGCAGGAAGCAAAGAAAGAGAATTCAGGGATTGTAAGGGCATTAAAATCAAACAGCTGGAGGTGAAAGCAGACTTTGACTTGCCACTTGGTACAGTACAGTAGGAAACTTGGCAGTTCCTTTTCTATTATTTTTCACACTCATTCAGAATTAGGGAAATCCCTGTCATGGAAAAGTTGAGAATGTTTTTCCACAGACATGTGTGCACACATATACTGTTGATGTAAAACCAAAGTCATTTCGATCCCCCTTATCGAAAAAGCAGAAACTTGTCTTCCCACATATATATCACTTTACACTGAATAATAATACTGCTGTCAGACAATGTTGGCTCTGCCTCATGCTGGATTAGCCCTGAAAGGCCAAAGGGAGAGGCAGAGTCGAATGCATTCCTGACTGGATCACCTGCTAGGAACTGGAAAGGATCCAGCAACACTGACCCAAAAGCAGGGAAGAATGAGAGCAGCGTAAGTTTTAAGAGGGATGGGGTTGTTTCCTTTGTCCTTTTTACCACAGGTTTTCTCCAAGAACCACAGAGAAGATGGGATTTGTACGTTTCTTTTTCTTTGGAGATAAAAATAAAAGGATGCATCAAGAAACTGCCCATTGGCCTGAGGATTATAGTAGCTTAGAAATTCAGAAAATCTGATCTTTATTACTTTAACATTGCTTTATGAATGAGCATAATCGATCATTTGGTTACCTGTTCATTTTATATCCCTGCATTGTCAAGCTCTTTCCTAGATTACTTCACTTTCAGAGCCAGAACTTCCAGGCCTCAGGTCCTCAAGTTAAAATCTATTTGGACGTTTAAGGAAAACAAATAACACCAGAGAAGGGTCACTCTTACCTGACTATTGCACATTGGATTAGAAGAAATTAGGTTCATTGAGAGTCTAGACCCATTTAAAGGAAGAATTACTAAGGAGATTCTTATTCCAACAACTTTCTATAGAAATCAGTTTCAATTGTTAAACTAAAAGCATTTCTGTGTAAGATTAAAAAAAAGGAGTTCTTAGAAAGTAAGGTTGTGTTTTGGCTTTTTGTGCTAAAAGGAAAGTTAATCCAAAATATTAATGAAACACCTGAGTCCAAGATAAAAGCTGGGCTATTTTTGTAGCATATAAATCAGGGTAATGAATGGATTTTTAGGCTATATCCACAAAACGTAAAAAAGCCAGCTGCCATACTAGTAAAGAAGGTAGAAGAAAGAAGAGATGTAAACAACGGAAGCAGAGTGTCGAGAGTGAAGGTGTGTTTGTGTGGTCCGAGTACAAAGAAGCATCGAGAAGTGTACAGGATTTCAAAACCTTGTAAACATTTAGATTGTAAAACAGAACAACGAACACTAAAGTCTGTTCATTGCTTGGTGTATTAATGCTAATGCATTTGGCTGCTATTTTACAAGCTGTCTTATGACTATTGTTAGGTTTTATAAGAGTGAACTTAATTTAAGAAGGAATGTCAAATCATAAAGTTCTTCAAATACAATTAAAGCAAATAGAGTAGCCATAGAATAACGTCCGGATGACATAGTACTAATAGTTTAGGAGAAGAATAATTAACAGACAGGGCTAGTTTTTAACAAAAACTATTTTGAGTCTGGTTGTATTTTACTATCTGGAAGACTCAGCCAAACTTTATTTGCCGCCACATGATCCGGACCCACTTCTGCCAACCTTCTGCTCTCTAAACCTCCTCTGCAGCAAATAGCATTCAAGACTCTCCTTTATAAGCACTTTATTGTGGTTCTGTCTCCATTCAAACCAAGCTGAAACCCACCTTCACCTTCCCAATCAACATTCTCCTCCAATTAACTCCCTTCCTCCTTCATCTGCAGTCCATCACCTGTGTCCAGGCCATCGCTATTCATCTCTATTCTTGTAAATCTGCCCATTCTATCATATGCGCTTTCTGCAGATGTCCAAGCGCCAAATTATCTGTATATCTAATTGCCTAATTCTTTCTTTGTGATTCTCTAAGGGTTGGAATATTTTTCTGTATGTGATAAACACCCAACATCCATAATGAGTTTAGAGTATCCCTTAAACAGATTCCTAGATTTTGTTATATGTATATTTTCTAATACAATTGTAATATAGAGAAACAGCTGTTGTTTTAACTTTTCTAAACCAAAATAAAAGCATGTTTCAGTCAGGAGTAATTGCCGCTGGCACAACAGCAGGAATATTTTAGTTGCTGCTAATTTTTACGTCAATCCACAAGATTTGAATTACTAAAGCACTGCCATTTAAAGTAAATCTCCCAACACATTTGGATAATGTGGATCTTGTGCTGCATGACTACATTTACCCTCCCACATCCTTTTAAAGCCGCACCTGTACAGGCAAATAAATGCCCCTAGTCCTTTACTTTGCTCATGTGGAGTGTTCTGCCAATTTAGAAAAAAATCTACTTTTGATGTGGGCATGATGTCGTGCCAAGCTAAATGCATATTAAAATGCTCCACCAGGCCTCTGCCTGAAGGTATTTAGACAGGTCTGGGCTGGCACCCTAGAAACACCATTGATGTTTTGGCCTTCAGTAAAAGCATTTATGCCTTATAGGTCAGTTTAACTAAAATATATTTGATTGCTAAATGAGTTCAAGTAATTTATTGATAAATCACAAATTATCTGATTAATTGTGCATACAATGGGAAAAGAATCTAGGAATAAGTACAAATGTCTTAAGTAGGTAAATACGATTATCTGCCAATGGAATGAGTATTTCTACTCTTAAAATAAGACAATTATTATTTAGATAATATGCACTACAAATAAGACAATGCAATTGGTTTTGTATCTTAAATACATCTTAAATGTAAATTGTCTTGTTCCACTGGCAAAGTGTCTCATTTACTACCTTAATTCAAGTAAAATACATTTATTTTAAGAAAAAAATGACTTAATTAGTTTTCAATATTTTGTAATATATATATAACTGTTTATCTTTGTCTAAAATCTCTACTAAAGTAATTTTTTTAACGTTCCATTTGTTCCCTGCCCTCAGATCTTAATAAAAAGAATAAAAATATGCAGATACTTTTTGTGTCACCTTGTTAAATAGCAGAGCTCAGTCTGTCTTAGAAGGCAGTACTTTCCTTCAAGACTGACAATGATCGTTTTCTACTTTTGGGTACTTTAGATCGCTGATGAAACACAAAATAATAGCAAATATGGGTAATAATGTTGAGACTCCAGTAATAATACTATTTCTATACAGTTTGTCCGAGTGGCGCTGTCATATGATGATGTCACAAGAAAGAGCAGGGCCCCGAGCAGATCTGGTACCAACAACGGTTTATTTATTACCTTCCTACCTCACTTTCTGTTTAAATTATCGGGAAGGAGCACGGTCAGACTTTTGATTAATTCCAGCAAGTCTGGAATTGCTAAGTATTGCTTTTAGAGCCTGAACAAAGCAGCATTCAATCATAAGAATGTACATATTGTTCTCCTTCAAATACACTTCACCAGTCTCACCATTTTTAATGCATGCCCATGTCTCAAAATATTTAGACACTT